GTGCCACTCTATGTTATCGCAAGCCTTTGTTTGGATATGGCCCAGTGTCAACGTCTGGGATATCAGGGCCAGCAAAGCGTACCTTACACCATCACTGCCATGCTTGTGCTCAACAAGGTCGCAGTGATTCTCCTTGAAGCCCTGCCAAAAAAGGGTATCTTGCTCGCTACCTATCGGGATTGCAGCCCCTCCGACACTGCTGGTCCGTACAGCACGCTATTGCTGTGGTGGATCAATCCTCTCTTATGGAAGGGATTCTTCACTCAACTTGGAGTTAACAATTTGTATCCTCTGGAGGTCGCTCTCTCCTCCCAACGCCTCGGGGATCGGTTTGAGGCCGAATGGAGGCGTTCCCGTCATTTACTGAGAGCGGTCACGAGAGTCCTGAAATACCACATCTTGGCCTCCGGCCTTCCTCAGTTACTTTTGATCGGGGTCAAATTCACTCAGCCATATCTCATCCAGGATACGACGAGGTTGGTAATGGACCCGGTCGAAAGCCAAAAGTGGCCTGCGTGGCGCCTGATAGGGATCTATGCCATTGTCTACACCGGAATCGCCCTACTCGGGGCCACCTCCAAGCACCAGATGAATCGGTTGGTTGTCAGCATTCGAGGGGGATTGGTCTCCCTTATCTATAACAAGAGCGTTGACTTGAGCATAACTGCCGTGGAGGAGAAGGCTGCTTTGACGCTAATGTCCACCGACATCGACCGTATCACCATGTCCTGTGCAGACTTGCACCACGCCTGGACGGCGGTTATAGAGGTAGCGGTGGCCCTGTACCTGCTGTACGCCCAGCTAGGTGTGGGCTTTCTGGCTCCGGGACTCTGCTTTGCGTGCGCCGTCGTGGCCATGGCAGCCTGTACGCGGCTGTATCCACGGTATCAAAACGCCTGGGTGGGGGCTATTCAAGAACGGACTTCGATAACCTCGACTATGCTCGCGTCCATCCGCAGTCTAAAACTCTTGGGACTCTCAGCCGTTATTGGAAGCCTTCTCCAGAGGTCAAGGGTACATGAAAATGTCGTGGCCCGCAAAATCCGATGGATTTTAGTGGTGCAGGTAGTCTTTCAAAACGTCACAAGCATCGCCGCGCCGCTGACCACCTTCGCACTTTACCTTGGCTGGGGTCATTCCATTGGCAAGACACTGGATGTTCCTGTCGCATTCTCCATCCTCTCACTCCTACAGCTTTTGGAGCCCCCGTTGATGACATTGGTTCAAACGCTGCCTCATCTAGCTGGCGCGCTGGGCAGTTTTGACCGCATCGATGCATTTCTTCGGTCGCCTTCACGACAGGAATACCGACAATTAGCGCCAAGCATTACTACAACGGCGACGTCTGAAGGAAATAATGATACGGTAGTCCTAGAAAATGCATCATTCGGATGGGCAGAGGACAGCCCGGTGCTTCGCAACCTGCATCTCCGCATCCCACGGGGATCGCTGGTCATGGTAGTTGGCCCGACTGGGTGCGGAAAGAGCACCCTGCTAAAGGGAATCCTCGGAGAGACTCCCTGGTCATGTGGAATAGTTTCGTCGACTTCCTCGATAGGGTTTGTGGATCAGACCCCATGGACCGTCAATGATACCATTAAGGCTAGCATATGCGGTCAATCCCCTGAAGATGCCCTCCTGTACCACGAGGTCGTTGACTGCTGCGGCTTGCTGGAAGACGTGAACAGCCTACCTGAAAAGGATGGGACTAAGATTGGATCGAACGGGATCGCGCTCAGCGGGGGGCAGAGACTTCGTCTTACACTTGCTCGGGCGGCGTTTGCACAGAAGGAGCTACTTGTTCTTGATGATGTATTCAGTGGAGTGGATGCAGACACCGAAGAGCATATCTTTCGTCGACTTTTCTCTGTGTCTGGCCCAGTGCGAAGGAGGGCAACCAGCATTATCCTGGTGACCCATGCCGTCTCCCGACTTCCCCTGGCAGACTGGGTGGTCGTTTTGTCGAAGGATGGAACAATCGCCGAACAGGGCACTTATGAGACTTTGATTCAAAAGAGCACAGGATATGTGGCCGGTCTCAATGTTAATTTCAAGCGCATTATGGATAATGACCATGACGCACTATCACATGCTGAACACGATGATGTGGCAGTCAAGCAGCCGGCAGTGGTGGAAGCAAACGCAGTGGGAGAAGAGGAGTCGGAAATGGAAGAAGCGCCAACAGTGACAGAATCACCAGCACCAAAGCATGGGGACTGGAAGACGATCACTGACTATTTTGCTGCGGCCAATTGGTCGTGGATGGGGCTCTGCTGTCTATGGAGCCTGGTGTACGTCACCGCGATCAAGGCACCGGGGTTGCTCTTGAACACTTTCAGCAGCCCAAGCAACAATTCTACCATCGTATCTACTTCCTCGTTTCTGGGCTGCCTCGGGTTGGCAGCTGTCGTCTCACTGGTGTCGCTCACCCTCCTGGTCTGGGGCTTATTCCTCCGTGTCATTCCCCGAGTATCGAACGGTCTTCATCAAAAACTTCTACACGCAGTGTTGCTGGCACCCATATCATTCTTTACCTCAACAGACTCCGGAACCGTGCTGAACCGCTTTACACAGGATCTCAGTGTTATTGACAATGAGCTTCCTGGTGTATTGATTGGGATGATGTTACAGCTGGCAATATTTACTATCGGCGCGTGTATGATTGTGGCCTCCGCTACATACCTACTGGTCACTATTCCCCTGGTCATGATGACTCTCATTGGTATTCAGCGATTTTATGTCCAGACCTCCCGTCAGCTCCGTACTCTCCGTCTAGAGCAACAAGCACCTTTATACACTCACTTCCAAGAAACCATTGCCGGTCTAGCTAGTATTCGCGCCTTCGGCTGGACGGGAGCTTTCCGAGCCCGCAACGCGATACTCCTTGACAACAGTCAACGACCGATATACCTGCTCAAAGCTGTGCAAGCCTGGCTTGGCCTTGTGTTGAATCTCTTGGTTGCCGCGCTCGGCACCGTGCTCATCAGTACGATCGCCATGCTTCGCGATACCGTACACCCCGCAATCGTGGGCCTGGGCCTGTTGAATATCATGAGCTTCAACGAGAACCTATCCGAATTAGTCCTTGTTTGGAGTTTGACAGAAACGTCCCTCAGTGCTGTGGCACGGGTTCGTGACTTCATCGAGGAGACTGAATCCGAAGAGAAGGACAGTGAGGTCAACTCGCCGCTGACTGCGTGGCCCCAGTATGGAGCAGTGGAATTTGATAACTTTGCTGCAGCCTATAGCAGTTCTGCGCCACTTGTTCTTCGAGACATTTGCCTGCACATCCAGCCTGGCGAGAAGATAGGAGTCTGCGGCCGCACGGGAAGTGGTAAGTCCTCGCTCCTAGCTGCATTCTTCCATCTAGTGGAGTATCGGCAGGGATCATTGAAGATCGACGGGCAAGACCTGGCACATCTCCCACGATCGGAGCTCCGCCAGTCCTTGAATATCATCACCCAGGAGCCGTTCTGCGTACATTCGGAAACTGTACGCTTCAATCTGGACCCATGGGAGGCGACCAGCCAGGATGATGCGATTCTCATTGGAGCGCTAGAGAAGTGTCAGCTCTGGTCGATTATTGAGGCCAAGGGCGGATTAAATGCCATCTTGAAGACAGATTTCTTCAGCCAAGGGCAGTGGCAGCTTTTCTGCCTGGCGCGGGCCATACTACGGAAGATCAGGCTTGTAGTGTTGGATGAGGTTTCATCGAGGTAAGTAGAATTAGAGAAAGAGGGTTCTGGTCCATTATTAGAGGGCTAACAAGAGGGCTACTGCGGCAGTGTTGATATCGAGACGGATCGTCGCATGCAGGAGATCATCCGGCACGAATTTGCTGGGTGTACAATCATTGCGGTCGCCCATCGTCTAGACACGATTGTGGATTTTGATAGGGTGGTGGTGTTGGCAGACGGGCGAATAGTGGAGTGTGGCGCCCCACAGCAATTGTTGGCGTGTGATGAAAGTTGGTTCAAGAGGCTGTATGAGTCGTGAAGCATTGAAATAGATGAATCTTGTAGATAGATACTGTATGACTGTCGGAGAACATGGCGTCCGTCCTGATCCAGAGGGAAATTACCGAGGTCCTGCTGCGCAAGTTACTGGTTAACACCGCAAAGTGTAAACCCTTCGTTATTAATAGAATTGTTGAGAATAATAATATGAATGAAGCTGCCGGAGAAGCAAACCACGGGACTCTGGGTGGGGAGAACATTTCAGTAACGCATTCCATAATCATAGAAATACAGAGATAGATAGAGGAGATAATAATCTAATAAATATATTCCAGGAAATTAAAAGAACTATATATGAATACTTTCTAAATATAAGTACTCAGAATATGTAGAAAGTAATAATCTCAGTACAATAAAACCTACTAATAACTCTCTTAGAAGTGGATATCCCATTGCCTCACCACGTGACCTCTCCGCAAACGTCACGTGACCTATTTCCGGTTGTTTGTTTGTTGCCTGTTTGTTTCATACTTTACTCTGTTTCGGCGCCTTGCGGGCCACGCCGGAGGTCCTAGCTACTGATCACATGAAAAAGATAGAATATGAAATATATTCTGTTTAAGTTAGTAGAAAAAGTTATATCAAAGACAAGAAATAAATGTAATAGAGAATGGACTTGCAAGCAGCTGGCTGGCTGTAATATTTACTAATATTAATATTATCATATAACTATATTTTTAATTTTCATTCTATATTTAGCTATAGCATAACCTTCCTATATTATAGTAAGTACTGTTTACGTGTTTACTGTAAGTTTTACATGATTTGAAGGCATTTGAATTCATATTCTTACTTCAAATAGTGTGAAGTCCCTGCATAGCTAGTATCTAACTACACCGGCTCAATCGGGTATAGGGCTATGAACTGAACTGAATTGAATTGAACGCCCCATCGGCTCGGCCCGAATTCTCACTCTTTAAAGGGTTTAACCATCTACCAAGTGCCAGAGTTGGACATGTTACAACTTACAACGTGTTCCCCGCGATGGGCTCCAAAACCCTAGGCCTGAAGAAATACTCACCGCGGTCTCGAACAGGGTGCCGGACGTGTCGTGCACGACGGATTAAATGCGATGAGACACCAGGACCATCATGCAAGAACTGCACGTCGACAGGTCGTACTTGCGACCGGTCCCCGCAGTTTCAGCTCCCCATAAAATCGCGCCTTCGACACGCTAGTCACCTGCACAACTACATTTCCACCAACCTGCCCGGTATGACAGCCGATGAGCGCCGCTGTCTCGCCTTATTTCAGACATATACGATGCCCATGCTGACCGGGTTATGTGACTCGGAACTCTGGCAACGGCTCGTGCTACAGATGAGTCAGATGGAGCCGGCAGTTGGACACGCTGTCGCAGCGCTGGGCGCATTCCACGAAACTACGACTGTGGGTGTAGCTGGTATGAATAACGATTATCAGCTCTTTGCACTGGAGCAATACGGGCGGGCGATTGCGGTTCTTCGTCGCCGTCTTGCGTCCGGGTCTGGGGATCCCCAGCTACGGATTACAGCGTTGGTGTGTTGTGTGATCTTTGTGGTGCTAGAGTTATTGCAAGATAATTACGGAAACATATTGGTGCATCTGAGGAATGGGATATACATCCTTATGAATGAGACTGGCCCGAAAGCGAGGGAAGCAATATTCAAATCCCTTCCCGCTGGTCCGAAAAATGATAGTGAGCGAGAAGAGGACGCGGTTTTCACGCATATGTTTGCGCAGTTGACAGTCCAGGCAGCGCATTTCAGCGAGGATTCCGTGATGAGGTTGCAACCATTGGATGCGCATCTCTCCACGGTGCATTACGACAGTATAGAAATTCGCAGTCTGATTGAAGCAAAGGATACGTTGGACCCGTTGATTGATAGCATGGTGCGTTTCTGGACGCGCTGCGAAGTAGAGCTTCGAGATCGCTCTGCAGATCATTATCCTCTCTATGTCGAGCAACAACGGCAATACAGTAACATACAACGCCATATCAACGCCTTTGAGACATACGTGTCCCAAGCCCAACACTACTCACCCAAGGAAACTCGAGCTATCGATACAATCCGCGTCAGTCACATCGTTATGAGTACCTATATCGCCACCTTCATGGATCTCACCGAGACCATCTACGACCGATTCCTAGCACGATGGACCCAAGCCGTAATTTTGACAGAGCAGATCGTCGCCAGTCTTCAAACGGAATACGCCCACAAGCAACAGCCACTTCCCAACGTCATCTCCGATATTGGGGTCTTCGTCCCATTGTTTTCGGTAGGGATCAAGTGCCGCGATGTGGGTATCCGAGAGCGTGTGTTGAGGTTGTTCCGCACATGGCCGCATCGTGAAGGACTGCATGACTCAATGTCATACTTATACATGGTGCGGGAAATAGCGAAGCTGGAAGGGGAGGCAGCCGATGCTAATGGGTATGTGCCGGAGAAGGCGAGGGTGCGAACGATGATGTTTGAAAAGGTTGGAGATGGAAAGCATGTGGTGCTACACTACGCGTTATCGGACCCAGAGGCGAAAGAATTGGTAATGAGGAGAAGAGTTTTTGCAATGGATGAATTGATATAATTCTCTATTGACTCAGCCAAAGGTCTTGATTCTGATACCTCACTCTCAATAACCATAGTTAGATAGATCATCCAGGCTTGATTGTATTTAGTAGGATATATTTACAGCGAGTTCTCACCTATCCAGATACTAGTATCTCAGGGTACAAGTCATTATATATCTAGTAGTATCACCGCCGACTTTCGCTAACTATGATAAAAAGAAAAGATCCCTCACACTCCATGGACCGTCCTGCCTATTGCTGTGGTACGATCGCAGGCTACCTTGTAATATAAACATAGCATGAACATGAAATTTATCTGCACCCATTCTTGCACCTCCAAGGCCTATGTGCCAACTGGCTCCGGCTCGGACTTCCACTTGGGCTTGGACCGGGCTAGATGACTTTTATCTTCTCTGTCACTGCCAGACACCATTTCTTCCTTCCTTTCTGGTCCTTGGCTCTATCCTAGCCTTTCTCTTCTTTTTACATGTCCCTTGAGGTATCCTGATTGACCGACTCACGACTTGCTCGAATATGTCACACCCCCATTGACTAGTATCCTTATGAATATCATAGTCGCAAGACGGCCTAGCAAGCACCACCGGTCAATATACCCAGTGATGCTATGGACCCCGCCCAAGGATCCTTTTAGTAATAATGGACTAATCACCAGGGATTCCTGAAATCTCCAGAAGCTAAATACGCGAAGACGGACCCACACATATACAGAACCTCTCCAGACACTTCCCGCAATGGGTGGTCCCTAAAATATTGCGTTCTAGTATCGAGTGTAACACAGTATATAAATCCCACTGTATCCTGCGCGATGCGGGATTGTGTACTTCCTGTCACCCTGAGGCGGAAGGAATTTTCTGCTTCTGATTCATGGATCGTCGAAAGCGAAACTTTCATCTCTATATCGTTTGATTATTTCGTATGGCACTCCTCCGGTAACAGGTTCAGCTATGTCAATAAAGCAATTCCGCAGGTCTAAGGAATAAACGACATCCTTTAAGGAGGAACCTAGCTGTAACCTTTTGAGAATCGGTCAAATCATGACTTTATAAACGCTCGGGAGATTTATATATAATATTAATATTATTGAAATATTTCTTAGAAATTATTGAAATATTTCTTAGAAATTATTGAATGGCGAATTTATTTCTTAATAATAAATCTTATAGTTTATATATATAATAATTTAATGAATTCTGAACAGATCATCACTAGAGCGATAATAAATATATCAATTAAAAAAAAATATAAAGAATCATCAAAAATCATGACTTTATAAACGATCAGGAAGCTTATAATGCCAGCTCAGTATTATTCAAGCCCAAGAATCTGACTACTACATCTCCTGCAAAGAAACCCTGAAAGTAGTTAAGCATATCTAATATAACCCAGGAGGGCAGATCAGATCTAAGACTAAAAAGAATACTGTTCACATCTAAGTTAACATTACTCAGAATATCCCGACCAGTGACTCGAGAAGGCTGATGGTAAACCGGTAATAAAATAATAATAAACTCAGGTAGAGCAACATTATTAACAAAGGCTGTGGGCGCTGGGATCACGGAGATAATTAATAAAAAAGTAGCCTGGACCAGGGCCTGACAAACAAAGCTTGACCCGCCTATTCTGTCACTTCAAATAGTAAGAATAGACCTTTCACCGCAGGAACAAGCAGATGAGGCTGTCTTTATTGTTAAATATGACCTGGAAAACCCACCGATATCATAGCCGTGCAGATCACTGGGACAACTTCAGGGCCACACAGGCGATGCATTCATTAGCTCTGTCCAGCAAGACCCTGACCCACAGTTAATTAAAGACTCGCCAAGCAACAAACCACATCTCAGCATCAGGATCATCTCAGGGTCTAGATACATCATGGCCTCAGAGACGTGTCCACCAGATGGAGATTTACTACTACTCACTCAGTTGCGTCATCTCTCACTCTTTCACTACTGTTCCTATACTGCTGTTCACAGAAACAGCCACAGTCCCAGGACTTGGCAAGATCAGAATAGCTATCTCTGTCACATGACCAGCTAAGATGGTGCTATTACCAGTCCATCCGACTTTCGAAGAAACCAACACAAAAGTAGTAGAAGCCTTCAGAACTGGTTCACCAATAAACTATCAAGTCTGGAAATAACTCCCCTCTGGATCATTTAACTAGTCTGGATATAATCTAAATCGATGTAAAGCGGTCCTTTGACTTGCCTTGTATATGCCGATCGATCTTTTCTCTTATTAGCAGAGTGGATCTCGAACAACAAAACACAACAAGCATGCGCGAATTGAAAGACATTCCATATAAAGATAGAATGTCGCTTTCACGCTCTGTGCTGTATTTCTAGACTTAAATCAGAAGCTACTGAGTATGATCCGTGAGGAATACCAGAATAGACATCTCCGGCCTGTTTTTGACAGCAGTGATTTGATGGGGGATATATTTACGGATTTCTCAGTGCCATCTGCTAAGTGGAATGGTCAGAACCCCGGAAATTGCGAAGCTTTGTGAAGCTTGGTTCCAAGGTCATTGAAACCGGTTACTGTCTAAAGGTCTATCTGAAAGCTGTATGCAGTAAGCTCTACGTGTAGATGTCGCGAAATGATGGCTAGCACCTCTACATAAGTGCTCGTCAAGTAAGTTACATCTCTGGTACTTCAGTTGTATTGAATCCGAGGTACAAAAGAGGAACGTTGAAAGTCACTACTTAAACTAGGATTCGTGGGTTCGAGATTGTCGACTTTTCCGGAATCCATCACGGTCACGTCCACCATGTAGTACTTGACCCCTCGATGCAAGTAGAGACCAACATGTATGTAACAGCAGGTCCTTTCCAAAACAATTAGTTCATGCTCAGGTTTTGGTTTGAACCGTTGCTGCAGCATGTCGAGTGCCTGATGCGGTGGTTCTGTTAGCAGCATGTCCTGTGAGAGTTCGATCGCGTCAAATCCGACATCGAATCCTCTCATGGATCCAATCATTACACAGACACGCTGTGTTTCCGTAGAACTTTCGAAAACGATAGCGCCTGCTAATTTGCTCGCCACTTTAGGCACCGGAAACTCATTATGAAAATATTTGGGTAACCAATCTTCGCGGGCCTTCTGAGCCTTAAGGAGAAATTCTGGAGTTCTGGCAGGGTCGCCAAGTGTTGATCTGAAGTGCTGAAGATTCTTTTGGCTTGATACCACTGATTCGGGTGCAATGGCTCTCACAGCTTCATAGGCAATGTTTACTTGCTTGTAATACGACTGAGGGCCTTCTCGGAGCTGGGCCACTTGGTACGGATAGACACCGGTTCCCGCTGACAAGGAGGAATTCTGCAAAGATTGTCGAACGAAAATTACTTTTAGATCTCCGCGACTGTCCTGAATGTGTGCGAAACTTCCTATATTTGACCGCACATACTGCTCATCGCCGGATGACAGCTTTTTAAGGAATATGGCCAAGAAGGTACCGTCCTTGTAGCTTGGTGGTACAGGGCAATTTATAGCTGCAACGTAGTTGTCTTCGTCCCCATAACATTTCTTGAGAAATAGGGCAATTTGCAGACCACGATTCGTCATTCCATAGGGAGGAAGAGACTCCCAGTTGCTATACGGAATGAACTTCCCTGAGAAGCTGAAATGCCTTGGTGAACGGGCCAGTAGACCATGGAGGGTATTCGGAAGAGCATCTAAATCCCGCCATGCGAAGATTGAATGGTCGTCCGACTGACGCATGATCTCTTCTTGGAGCCGGATATATGCTCGCTCCCCTTCACCGTATAACAGGGGCATGTGTATGTTGAATATTCCCAGGAGGCAATATGCGACATCCTCCGGGCGAGATGTATTTCTTTTTGCTGCCCAGGACATTCTGCTGGCGATCGACGCCGAGGACAGCGGGACCTCCTGGGAAAGATACTGGATTCCGATACCCGTGATTGTGGATAGTACTTCGTATAGCTCTGTCTTCCTTCCAATGGCCTTCCATTCGGAGGAAAAAAAGACCACTTCTCGTGGTGCCAATAGCTCCTGGAGCGTGAACCCGCGAGTAAACCATCTACACCGAGCGAATTCAGAATCTCTGTCATGAATACGAACATCTGTTGGTACGTCGGATAAATAGGCGTAGCATATACTGGCGGCTTGATACCAGGCATACATAGAATTCAAGGCTTCGGACAGCTCCGCACTGCTTCTTTTATCGATGCAGCAGTTGTCGATCCACACGTATTCGAAGCCGTCAGTGACAGCTTGTTCTGCTGTCTTTTTGAGTTTGGTAAAGCATGGCTTGTTTTCCGCAGTGCCGCTGAGCATGTCCTCAAAGATCACCTCTTGATCATGGACCCAGGTATGCGACAGGATGGCGTACGGAGGGATATTATCAGACATGAACTCAACCAGCTTCAAGTCTGACACCCTGAGAAGGCGCATCGTTTCTATCCGTTTTAGCGAGTTTGTATATTGTATATATCGTATTTGATGATGATGGAATGTCTACAAATTGCCAAACAAACAAGAGAGGTGGGCGGGGTCATGCTGAGTTGGCAGGCTCAGCCGCAGGGGCGAAATCCTTCTAGAATACTGCTTAGCTCCCATTTGTAGAAGGCCCAGATGACCTGTGTAATCAGGTTCTGGCAAGCTATTCCTGCAAGCTGTAGAGAAACCGTCTTGTGCATTTTGGGCTGAGGTGAGTATATGGCCACAAATGGTATCCAAACTCACAGGAAAATAGAACCTGATCCTTGTCGTTCAGGTCACGTGCTGTATATTGCTAAGGCGTACTTTCAGCCGGTTTTTGGTCTCGTGGCTCGATGCTGCCGCAGTCATCGACTAGAAGATATTTTGGGAATAGTTGATCGCTTTGTATGTAGGCAAAGAGTAAACAGGAGGTGATTGGTTAGTGATGTTGGAGTCGCTGCCAAGTCAGGCATGAAATTGGAGTTTATACCTTTCTCCGAAGCTGTTCTCAAAGATTTATTACTATTGTTCTCAAATTTTCTCCTACTAAACTTTATTAACAGAAGGCAAGCTGAACTCTTATAACTAACTTATAATATCTTGAGCAGGTATTTGAACCAGTATTTAAACAGGCTTAGATAATTTTTAAAGATATTATTAAATATAGCTGTTGAACTACCCGCACAGAATAGAGGAAGGATAAGCGGCTTAGTAAATACATATAACTACTCAGAAACAAGAACTGAGTACTCAGTAAGCAGTAATCCGTGATATAAAATATTTACTAAGCAGAACCCGAGCGCTCTTATTAAAGCGGCGGTGTCCCGAAGAGGAAATCTACAGTTATCCTAGAAAATCAAGTATGTATAGGTACATATAACATGATCCTGATCCTGCCCCCAGCTCACGGGGAACAGGTTGTAGGCACGTACGTGGTCATACTCGGCTTCTTTTTTCCCACTGCTGCCGTCCTTGGGTTTTAGGGTAACATGCGCAGTATGAGAGAAGTTTTGAACACAACGTTATGTTGGATTCGTCGGTCAACATAGGGATGAATCTCCAAGTTAGAGAGAGCTACCAAAGCCTGTCGGCATTCATCATCTCCCTCGAATCTGGGATGGTGCTGTGAGATGCTGGGAGAAGGAAAGCAGTCACCAGGTCGGAATGCAGCTTCAGTATTATGTATAGCTGTGTGTATTGTCTGACTCTTCTAGAGGTCACCAGGAGAAAAAAGAACGTCCATTCTGGCACACTGCCATTGACAAACGTATGCTCATAGCATATCGCGATCTCGATCGCCAGATATGAGTGAAAGGGAGTCTGTTTAGTAAGAATTAGTCTCAGACATGTGCCCTTGGTCAGTATCGTCAACCAAATTTAAGTTCATACTAGAAAGACCTCGCCTCCTGAGTTGCCTATCTACTAATCCACCGTCTTCTCACAATCAAGGGAGCTATTCTGACAGCCCGCATTCTATTGCCCAGTGGGGCCAGTCTCCTTCTTTAGCCGATTTGGAAGTTGTGGATATCTTGTATGATAAGACCTGGTTGACATCTCTTTCTCTCAGACGAGCCCAGAGGGCCGACACCTCTATCTTGCAATAGTTGAGACTTCTGTAAGTATGAGTGTCCTGTCAGTATCGTTTAACAAAATCCAAACTCATGTTAGAAAGACCTCGCGCCCCGTGTTTCCTATCTAATCCTCTCTTTCCACAATTGAGGGAGTGATTCTGATAACCTGCATTCAATCGCCCAATGTGGCCCATTCTAGCTGGTCAATGAGGCTCAATGCTTCATTTGTGTATGTGGCATCAACCTCTTTCTGTACTTAGTCAATTTCATTGTCTTGAGGAGCATTACCTCCTATAAAGACAACAAGCACAATGTATACATCACCGCTTCAGATAGTCCCGTCTCGATCGCCCAGTGGTGCCAATCGACGTCGCTTCGACTCAGTAGCCGACCTTGAACGCGGTGTCTCCTTCTTTAGTCGAATCGGATGACAGCACCGCTGCTCCAAATTTACAGTTTTAGCGATTCCCGCTTGCTTTGGTCGAAGCATATATTCCCAGACGACAGTCGGTTTGTCCTTGACAATCATGTGTGCTGTTGTCCCAAGGGCCCACCCACACTGAGTCATTTTGATTAGAGTGTTGATTTCCGCGAAGTACGTACATACAACAGGCTTAATGATTAAGAACCTTCTGTCAGTTCGAAGTTCTATGGCATGCTTGAAAGAAAATGATTGGCTCGTGTAGTTGTTGCCGATTCGCGGGAGGCGGGCGCCATAGGGAAATAAAGATTGGTTGTATACTTGTGGTCCTTGATATGCGAGGATGGATACCGTAGGATCTAACCCCATATCATTCTTGAACATCGAATAAGAAATAAGCCATATGTTTATGCCAATTCTTTTAATCAACATATCGCCAGCGATACATCCCTCACCAAATTTCCTACCCTATACCATAGCCTCCTGAGCCTCAAGCTCGCGGGTTTCATTGGCTAAGGGCTTTCAAGTCAATCGCCATGTAGCCTAGTACCTGTGCTGTGCTATGCTATGTCCCATTTGATCTGATCATAGTCGGTCTCCTGGATGACATAGGGTCCAGGGACAGGAGTTACACGATGATTGTCTTACTCGGTTTTGTGTATTCACAACCTGTGTCATCTAGCTTTCTCCCATTCTCTGCGATAATATCATGGCGTCTTGTTCAGCTATCACGGGTAATTAAGACTCGCATGCGACACTCTGGAGATGTATGTTTGATACCATGCCGGAACTTTTCTTCTGGTAGCTCCAAGTCACCGGCCCGTCTCAGCGCATCATCGGTATAGGCGTTATATTGTCGGCCATTTTTAAGATCGGCGACAAGATGAGTCTTGTTGAGGACCAATTCGAGACCGGTACTCTCCACCATGTGCGTTGATTGTTGAAGAAGGACTAGAAGTGCCGCGTTTGGCGCTGCCTCGTCTTCGGCATCGCTGAACTCCTCCACCTCTTAGTTCTGGGACTGGGCTTTGCTTGGTATTATGGGTATATTCTGGATGAAGAATATGAAATTGGCTAACGCCGCCGCATAAGAGAGCTTCAAGATGAAAGTCCTGATATATTCGTTTAAGTGATGTCTATCATAACTCGGGCTATATTCTAGATATAGTAGATAAAGGCTTTTTTTTTTTTAGATCTGCAAGGCATCATATGGAGGAAGTTGAAGAAGAGAAAGAGAAAGATGTGTGGCAGTCGGAGTTTTTATAGATAAGTAGAGAGAGTTAATGAGATGATCGTGCTGGGGTACTTCACAGGATGATTCATTCCCTATATCTATCAAGATTCCCTTTGAATGGTATGCTTCAAGGAACTGTCCCCTATACTGATCGATGAGATATCCCCTGATTGAATTGCATAGATGCAATTGACCAAGGATCTGTGAATCGGTCTGCTGAACCGGAGCGACCAGAGAAATGGTGACAATGATACCGTTCACCTTACTAACTCAACTGGCGTTCTTATTCCCCAATCCCCCGGTTTTCACAACCTGAAACAAGCTATGACATTCCTCGAAAAACACCCCTCGCTATTGCCAGCAGCGCAGCAGAATCAAAAACTACATCATGCTCTTGTCCAACAGCAGGCCGTCCGATAATTGTATCGAACTCCAGAATCAGCGGGGCACCCTGGACGGAAGGAGGGTTGGCCTTCATATTGACGACGATGGTGGAAACGCACCGACGAACGTGTACAGCACCGGCCGCTTGTGCTCTCGTTCTCGGTCCTTGCCGAGCATAGGGAACGTATTTTTTCGATGGTGATAGTTTTTCTGGCCCGTGAAATATCCAGAAGCAGAACCAGGTTAACGTGCCCTCCCTTCCCCCCACCCCTGAGTTGCCTATCCACCAATCCACGGAGGTGCGGTAACGACTCGAATAACCCGCATTCAATGGTTCAGTGGGGCCAGTCTCCTTCTTCAGCCGATTCGGAAGTTGTGGATATCTTGTGGTTTACGTGTCTCTCTCGGGCAACCCAGAGGGCCGAGATCTCTGTCTTGCAATCTTTGAGACTTCTGTAAGTACGAGGCGAGTAAAGTTCATAATTGTCAGGGTGGTGGTCGAAGCAGGCAATATAGAAGAAGACGACAAGATGTCCGGGCCTGGTATGCTCTCTGTTACTTCAGTAAGCAGGAGCACGGTGGAAATCTTGGATCCTTGCTATTGGGGATAGTACATTATTTAATGAATCGATGAAGCTTCTATGCTGCATGTTGGTTATCGGTGGAAGCGGAATCATTGTGATATAACTTGAAGCTTGCTTGTGCTGTATGGTATGAACTTTCGGGATTCAGCCTCCCCGGCCTGTTGCGGGATGATTCATTGCTGCAGTTGTTGCAGCTACTACCCAAAGTGGTATTGTATGATGAATACCTACCTTAAGTTGATTGTAGAGGTAGAGGAAGTGGAGGGACCGTCTATATACTAGTGTACTAGAGATGTCTTAAGTCTAACCATACAGAATAGGAAGGAACACATGATCATGTGACAGCACTGCAATGAATTGAAAGACTGTAACATCTATTCACTTATCCTAGACGATTCACTTAGATACATACCACTACCACTACAACAATATACATCCCAAACTAAAGATGAAACCCCCCCATTAATCTTTGTAGTTATGGATTTCTTGCAATATAAATATGGGAATGCGTTGGGCTATCTGAGAACTGGGATGTACATCCTTATGAATGAGAATGGCCCGAAAGTGAGGAAAGCAATATTCAATATCTTATCACCCCCCAAACAACTTATGGTATCCCCATAAAAACAAGACGACCCATCTGAACCAATCGCGCATTGTCGAAAATGACGTTCATTTCAAGGGCAACAGCCGGACGACCGACCAAACGATCGAAGTCCAGCACTAATGGGCCGCCTTGGACAGAAGGGGGAGTTGTCCTCATGTCTATCACAGTAATGGTCACGAGTCGCTTCACATAGACGCCGGCGGTTTGGGCTCGAGTGCTGGGTCCTTGTCTGATCTGCGGGAAGTACTTCTCTATCGTAATTTTCTTCGCCGCGCGGTCAACTCTAACTAGCAAGGCCAAGAGGACTTGTCCACCGGAGTTTCCGATCCACCAATTTATGTCTTGACGCAGCCGACGGAGTGATTCAGACAGGCCAGCTTCAATGATCCAGTGGGGCCAGTCACTATCTTCGTTGGGTCTCAAAGTGCTATTTCTAGACGAGAAGTCGCCTTGTTTCTGGGAGCGCGAGGCCGCAGTGTGTGTGGCGGAACCTGTGGGCATTTGCTGATCCCAGTCGATCCCCATGTTATCCAAGATGGAAAATGTCTTACTTGAAATTAACTGATGCGCCTTCTCGGGTGGCGCCAGCGGGACTTTGACGATCATAGTCTGAATATCCGGATAGTAGGTAAGTCGGACAAGGTTACACAACCTATTACGGTTGTTCTCCAGGTAAAGAAATGAGCTTGGCGATATGTGCTTGAAAGAAAGAAATTGGTCTGCGTCCCGCTGTCTCAGCCGGTCCCAAACGGCCATAATGGCCTGATTGAGATCATTGATTCCTCGATAGGTTCGGGAGGGGTATAATTCCGTCAACGCAAGTGAAGCGGAGTCGGGAAGATTGTACGTCAAGGACATGCTCGTCGATGGAGCTGGCATTATTTCTGTCACTTCTGTCATCCTCTCGGTCTGTCATAGAGCGGGACAGCATCTTAAGTATGATTAGCGAGTTTGTCAGTGACATAAGCATTGCATACTTTAAGCTTTCGGGACTTACCTTGGTGGCCGGTACTAGTAGATGACGAAATAGCAAGTGAGGTATGCTCGGACAACGCTTGTACTCGATAAGTTCGAACGTAATCGCCAGGCAGGACGAGGCAACAGGAAAGCTGTTAGACAGCACCGCGGGAGGCGTCGCGGCAGATGTAGTGGAAGAGACAGGACAAGAAAAAGACGCGTAGCAGACGATAACGGCTTATCAGACAACGGTATAGCAAACGACAACAACGTAGCAAGCGCAGCAGCAGACGACTGGTGACAAGCGAAACAGCAAAGGTAGTGGCAAAGAAGATAGTAGACAGCGCGGCGACGAGGTGGTCCAACACATTCTTAGAAAGGAGGTGAGAAGTAAATGTGGGTTCCAAGTGAGAGGTGAATGAGATTATAGTAAACCCATCCCTCAGACCGAAGTCAATCTTCCCCACAACTTCCTATCTCACCTGGCATTCATCTTACGAAATACCACAGAAAACCATCTCCCCCTATCTCAATCAGATCCGCAACGCCAAACAAGACATCATACTCACCCGGTCCAACAGGCTGTCTTCCAATCATTCTCTCAAACTCAAGGGAACCACCGGCGGCCCTTTCCACAGCAGGTGGATTTACCTTCAAATCAACAACAGTCCTCGAAACAAGCTGCGGCATCCTACCTTCCGCAGCCCTAAGCCCTTGTAACCGGACCACCACTACCTGCCTAAGCTGCTGTGGAAAGTCCTTCTCAACCGTAAGTGTCCTCTCATGACTCGACACCACGAATACCAAAACCAACAGTACCTGTCCCCCCAGAGCACCCAATCCACCAATTCACATCTTGATGCAATCGGGATAGTGACTCTGAGTCTGATATTCCACATTCAATAACCCAATTAGGCCAATTCATCTCATCAGTAGTCCTTAACAGCCCGTTCTTATGAGTGGAATCTGCCTCTTTCTGCGATCCCGTTGCCGACGTGTATATGACAGGATTAAACGGTACCTCGCGCTCATCAAGATCGACTCCCATGATGTTCAGACTGACATTAGTATCTTGATTGAGAATCAGTCAGAGTTTTCTTTTGTCATGGGTGTTTGGACTTTGATGAGGACGGTGAAGATATCCGGGAAGTAGGTGAATCGGACGTGTCTTTCTAGGCGGTGGCGGAATCGGCGGAGGGAGTGTGGAACGAGGCTGGGGTGATATTGTTGTAGGAGAGGTATTGGCTCGTGGTGTTGTCTGGGTGAGGGTAGATGTGGTCGTAGAGGGATAGGACGGCTCGTTTGCAGTCTTGGATTCCGCGATATGGACGGGGTGGGTATTGAGTAGTTAGGGCTAGGGTGGTGGACGTTTGGGAGAGAGGGGTGGGTGGACATTTTGATGATGCTGTTGGTAGTATGTGTTTCAGCTGGATGGATGAAGCTTGGTGGTGCAGCATTCATTATAATGAGAAGTTCAGCTGGTAATCTGTTCTGGTAGCGAGATCATGGTGATATAACTTGTAGCAGTTAGTAGTACAGAGTTGCGGGACTGCGGCCTACTTTGATACATAGACCACAACAATACTCCACATCTAAATCAACATCAATCAACCCTCCTAAAGATGAAACCCCCCCATCTCATTAACCTCACAAAACCTCCACAACCCAGCCTGCACCGCCGCCTCTCTAACACCACTCCATTCCTCCTCCCTCACAGCCCGATTAATCTCCTTATACCTGACCTCTCCCTCCCCATCTCCATCTGCACCCCTTCCCCTCTTCCTCCTCCCCACATACGCATCAGGCCTATACTGCTCCATAACATGAACATACAAATCCCTGGAGACATTCTCCGCCAACCACCTTACAATCTCCCTCCCCTCATCCTCCAAACCCGGCATCACCAAATGTCTCAACAACACCCCCTTCTTCGCAATCCCATCAGACGTGAAACTCAAATCCCCTACCTGCCGATGCATCTCCTTGATACTCTCTTTCGCGGTCTCGACATACTCCTCCGCTTTAAGTAATCGCTTCGCGGTACTTCCCTTCCAGACTTTGAAGTCGGGGAGGTAGATATCCACTAATCCATCTAGGAGATGTAGTGAGTCGAGGGAGTCGAAGCTGGACGTGTTGTACACGATGGGGATCTTCAGTCCCATGTCTCGCGCATCGAGGATCGAGAGAACGACTTGTGGGACGACGTGTTCCGGTGTTACTAGGTTGATGTTGTGTACGTGTCCGACTGTTTGGAGCTTCATGTACCACTCTGCTAGCTCGGTGGGCGTGAGATCGTGTCCGGCTTTTTTGTGTGCTATATCCTACACATTTCCATTATCATCATCAACACCACACGCCCTACCCACAAAACTTGAGTTATATCAAGGGGAAGGGGGAAGCCTACATGATTCTGACAAAACACACACCGCATATTACAGCCAGAGAAAAACACACTCCCCGAGCCATGAAACCCCTGGATGCAGGGTTCTTCGCCGTGATGCGGGGCGATGGTATTCACTTTTGCGGTTTCGGCGCCGATCAGACACATCCCTGTCTCGTGGAAGCGGTTTACGCCGCATCGGCGCGGACAGAGGTTGCAGTTCTGCAGGTGAGCGTAGGCCAGGGAACGCTTTTTGGAGGCATCGACGGAGGAGAGGAGTTGGTAGCGGGGAATGTAGTCGTCCAGGAGGTAGGCGGGGGGGATGCCGAGGTGGCGTTTTGGGGTATATCTATATGTACATTTGGGTGGGGGTCGGAGGGAAGAATAGGGGTGAAGGGTGCGAAGGGTGCGTGTTACTGAGGCCATGTTTATGGGGGTTACTATGCTATTGTCATTGCGATGGTTGAGGTGGTTGTTTGTATGAAGGTTTTGGTGCTCTCCGATGCATGCTTATCGGCAGCTTATCTCAGCCATGTCGTCATACCTCGGCTGTTGCACAACAAATCATTGGAAAGCAATTAGATTGACCAGGTATCAAAGTATCAGTATCAGTATCAGTATCAAAATCAGCATCACGCATAGTGTACATGCCACAAATATCCACATATATCACCAAGTATATGTACGAATCCATATCAACACGAAGTAAGCATATCTTCCATTCGCCATGCCATCCCCTTGACAATGAAGCCAGCATAAGCCCGGAATAGACAGCGAATCCAATAGTATCAGGTAGAATGTAAGCCATTGACCGGTCAATGCACGCCATAAATCACATCTCATCGTCAGCTGTATCACCGCGAAACTACAGTGCTAGCCCACTGCCGTCGCCGCTCCAGCGGTATAGCGCAAGCACTTCGCGTCGGCGCTGCTGCTGCTCGCCAAAGTCCTCCGGGATGCGTCCTCGAACCTGCGCCAGCGCCGATCGCATGACCTTGCGGAATGTTCGCTACATAGCATTAGTTATCAATACTAACAAGGGAATAAACAAAAGGCCTACCTGGTACTCTGTGTTCAAGGTCACAACGCACGCCTCATGCGCCCGCACGATCGTCTCGCATGCCCGCACAACACTTGGACTGGCATCGCCCTGCAGCTTGTCCGCCGCCAGTAGCAGCAAGAAGCTGCCTTGTAGCAGGTAAATCCCGAAGAAGAACGGCATGAAGCTGAGATCTGGATCATGTTCCAAAATTTCTGCTGCTGCTTCCGCCGCACCGACCGCGTGGCTCATGGCCGACACAAACGACTCCGAGGAGATCCACAGATCGTGGTCTTCCAACAAGTTGACTGGGTCCCACTTGCCCGCGAGCAGAATATGCAGGACATGCATGATATGCGTCCCGTAGGCGACGACCATCCTCGTGTGCATGATGGACCCGCTCACCCGTGATCCCACGGTGCTACTGGAACGGCCTGAAGGACTCGTGTGGTCCAAATGGGCACCTTCCACGGCAGGTTCATTATCTGCAGTTCCCAGAGTCAGGTTGCTGGTGTAGCGAGCCTCGAACTCTTTCAAGCTGCGCCCGTATGTGTCCAGCTGCCGCGTAACGTCCTGGACCTGACGCTCCCATTCCGGACTATTGCGAAACGCCAGGCCAAAGCGCGGATGGTTCTCGGCGTGGTGCAGATCGACGATCCCTCCAAGAATCGTCATCAGCGGCAGGAAGTATCCATACATGCTGTGACCCGTGCACTCGACGGGTGGTCCGACCTGGCGGTAGGCAGCCGCCGCAAAGTCGCCGACCTGCCACAGATCATCGTTCATCGGCTGCAACAGCCCGCCACATTCCTTGTCCAGCAGCGTGAGGGGGCGATTGTAACACAGCGCCAGGTGCCGATCTGTCGCATATAAGAGCCACCACAGGCGCCGGCGCTCTTCCCGCTCCTCTTCGGTGACATTGATGCCGGAGCTTCCCGGTCCATGGCCTAGCGATGTAATAAGAGTTGGAGGATGCCGCCTATCTGCCTCACCATCCCCATCTCGCTCTCCATCTTGTCGTGCGTGAGAGACATTGGGTGGCAGCTCACGGCCTAGCTTCAGCTCGCGCGCTAGAGACCACGCCGCAGTCCACCAGCGCATGCTGGCCGCCTTGTACTCGCTGGCGGACACCACCGTCGCAAGATGCACATAGGTCGCCACATCATCCACGGCCCCGGTGGCGCTACTTTGCGCGCCCAGCTGATCCATGGAAACTCCGAATCCGCCCAGAGCGACGCCATTAATAACCATGTTCGCCGCATAGTTGGGGGACGCTTCGCCGGTAGCAGGGCCATGAACCAACGGTCGGAGCAAACCGATCGTCAATTCCAGCAGTTTCTGGCATACACGGCCCCGAGCCGAGGGCGGCGATGTCAAGAAAGGGGCTTCACTGGTCTGCGCGGCTACCCAGAGCATACTCGCCAGGAGACCGGCACTGCATATTCGGGGTTTCGTCGGGTGAAGGAAAGACTGTTTGCGGAAGATGTAGCCCACAACGTATGGGGACGACGGAGACAGATGGGAAGGGGAGGAGCTATGAAAGTAAACATCCAAAAGGTCACACGCTAGTGACTGCGGAATAATGGAGGCGATATGTGGCAGAACCGGCTGCAAAACAGGGTATCGTAAAGTGCTGGAAAACGGATGCAGGCTGAAAGAAGGAAAGTTGGCAGGAGATGGCGAAGGAAGAGGGAGCCATCCAGGCGATTGCCCTGGAGGCGAGAGACCGAGGAACGGTGCGGTTGGGTTTTCCGCTGAGCTTCCCAAGCGAAACTGGTTAGCTGGTGAGCCCGGTTCCTGCGGATTGACTAAAGCGAATGCGCTCGCGTTGTACCCGGAACTCAGGCCTTGAGGTGGTAAGGCGGACGGGGGTAACGATCGAAGGTCGGACATGGACATGGCCGGGCGACCAGAATCATTCAGCGTATTAAAATGGCTTAAATGCATCGCATCGATGGTCGTTCCTAGCGATGGCTGCGAATGCGACGGCGCCGTCTGGGAGTCATGCAGACCGGATATACCGGCATTGTTCGCATGCTGCATATGCGAGGGCTGCGAGCTGATATGGTGGCTCTCAAAGGTCGAGTCGTATCGACCGTTGACATCTTGCGCTGGCCGGCTGTCTTCAGACGTCCGCTCAGCCATCAGCGACGCGTTGGCCTGCCCTGAATGACCATTTGACCCATGAGTGGCCGCCGCCGCTGCCGCTGCCAGGTCCTTCTTCGACGCTTTGCCGCGCTTCTTGCGTTCTCGCGCATACTCGCAGGTCAATCCAAATTCTGCAGCATGTCAGTCAAGCGCCCAGCCTGTCGCCGGCATCGGAGAAAAGAGCGGAAGCCTACCAATGCAATGAGCGCACGGATGCTGCCCGTCGCATTTCGTTCGGAGTTGGTTACACTGGTCACACGCACGGCTGATTCGGCGGCGGACTGGAGCCGACGAGGAGTTTTTGCGAATGGCAGAGCGAGCCTCCACGAGGGGATCTCTTTGCAGAGTGTTCTTGAAACCGGAACCAGCGCTCTGGTTTCTCTCGTCGTCGAAAAGTGGTTGATCTTTCGCATGCGACAGGGAATTTCGCAAGGAAGTGGAGGTCGCGCCGTCGCCGGCACCAGTTCCCGCAGCGTCTCGCGACAGCTGCAATTGTTCCAAGACGTACTGCGAGCCCTCGGCGAGCGTATCCAACCCGACAGTCTGAGACGGCGCCATCCCCGTCGACTGCGATCCGGAAGAGAAAGGAGAGAATGGACTGGGGAATTGAGGAATCGAGGGGGTTGACATCCTCACCGGGCGGAACAGTCAACCCAGCGGGTCATGAAGACCCCGGTCGTCGGGGTATGAGGTAGTCAGACCGCTGGCGAATGGAAGGGCCGTAAGGCCCCAAGCGTGAAAGGGCACTACGCTAGCGGGAGAGGAAATTAAGGCGGCACTTGGAGCGACGGACCCTGGACGAGAGGCAGACGATTTCACGACCAGGAGGGCAGAGGCAGGAGGGAAAGTCGAGGAAGCAGAGAAGCGGTCGCAAGGAAAGTAAGAAGCGATCAACTCCACGGCATTGCCGATTTCAGTCTGCGGGGCAACTAAAACACGGACTAAAAAACAGGGACCTAGAAGGCAGCAGCAGAAGAGGAGACTGTCAGCCGGAGAAGCGACCAGGCCGAGCAGAAACTAAGGAAAGACAGGCTAGCAACTAACCAGTTTGGGGGGAGGTGGTTTGGTTTTAGTTCGGTGGGCAGGTCCGGGGAAGGTGAAGAACCCACGAGAAAGACCTGACCCGGATCTCTTCTTCTTCTCTCACCACGGTCGGGTCAGACCATCAAACAGTGAACACGGATGGCAGTTAATAGCAGACCCTCACCGCATGCTGTTGATGAATAGCTGACGAGGAGAGAAGGAGGGGGAGGGGGGAAATGAGCACAGCCTAACGAGGCAAAAGGAATAATAAAAAGAAGGATGGATGGGGATGCAGAATTGCAGGGGAAAAAGGCGGGGAAGCAGCAGACGGAGGGCCACCAAGTCGGGGCTCTCTCCGGATCGTCAGGTCAATGCCATCGTTGCCCATCATGCAATCCCACGCGGACTGACCAGACACGGTGGTCGGTTCTCCTGCATGCATTTATGAGCCATGCTGTCCTTGAGCCAATGACAAGGCTCATCGGATAGATGGAGAGGAGGGGGTAAGAGAGAGAGAGAAGCTGGCAAGCAACCGGCAGTCGTTGGCTCTCCGCACTCCTCAATCAACCCGACTAAAAAACTCTCTCCAGACTTTCGGCCCATGCAGGGTTCGCTCCCAATGAAGGCAATTCATTCTACGCCCTGCACGTCAGCTTATCTCCGACCCTCGTGCGGGTCACGTCCAATGGGAGGTTTTACGCTGCTCACAAGGTCATTCACTTTCACTTTTGTGCATTATAGTTCATATATACAATGTGGTCAATAAATTCCATCCCGACTATATACACCAGTTCCCATTTTTTATGCCAACACAATGATATCAAACAACTTGAAACAACACTGTACACATTCATTCATGCATCCCAATCCCATGCAGTATAACCATGCTAGAAAGAAACAACCATAATCAGGTATTAAAAAGAAAAGTGAGGGAGATCCCAACCGGGTGAACGTATTGTAGAACCCCAAAAATGTGAGATCACCAGAAGGTCAATAAATGTACAAGAGGCGACGACATCCGGAGAAGGATCAGGTCAGGACACGGTCCTACCGAGACCAAGCTCCATACCAGAGCGCCATAAGCAGAGACAGCCGTGGCCCGCGCGAACTGACCCCGGCCTAGGCAAATGCGCCCGAGCGTTCCAGGGCGTTCCCGCCTTAACAGAAGAAGTACTTGCTGTCGCGGATCCGCGTCACGTCCCATGTACCCTTGGTCGGGACGGCACGGAACCGCAACGGCAGCCAAACATGCACATACGATTTTTTGGCTTGCTTGCGCTTGGTCGGTGCCGACTCTTCCGTAGGCATCTCCTCGTGGGGATCCGCCTTCGCTCCGAGCACGTTGTCGAAGCCCTGGAACAGGGTCTCGATGGCCGGATCGGTAGGATCAGCCTCCATACCGGAGATCTTGCGCTCCGCTGCCGCCAGGTCCTCCGGCACGTGGCCGACCGCTGTCTCTCCCAGAGAACTGGCGATCGCCAGATCCTCGTCGCTTCCGAATTGCTCGAAAATGCTGGCCGGGGTCACCATGGCACGTCCCTGAGCCTGGAGCTCCGGGTCCTCCGCCTGCAAGAGCTTCTGTCGCTTGTGTTCCTCCAGCAGCTCCTGAACCTTGAGGGCCTTCTGAGAAGCCTTCGATCCCTTCCGCAGGGCCTTGATCCTTTGTCCCAGGGCACTGCTGGCGTCCACCTTGGCAAGGAAGAGATTCTTGCTGTACCGGACCTCGAACTCTGCAGCCAACCTCTTGACCACGTCGTCCGAGTGCATACGCACGAACGCCTCACGAAGCAGCTGGTTCATCGAGTCGATGTCACAGGCGTGAGTCCAGAAAGAATCGTGAACGGCGGAGAACTGAAGCCCGGCGCGGTGGCATGCGATCGCAGACAGCATCATGTGGGTGGCATCGAGAGAGTGGATGAAGTTGGGGGGGAAGGCTTGCAGCTGCTTACGCTTAGAGACCACGTCGCCCGAGCTGCCATCAACAATGCTCAAATCCTGGAGTGTAGTGTAGATACGGCGAGCCTTGCGAACCCGGTAGGGCTGGACAACAGGCAAGCCAAGGGGAGTAGTCCAAATCACGGTAGACCGGAACTTCTTCGTAGGATCCTCCATCTGCTTCGCTTCCTCGGGGTTCATAGCCTCCTTGGCAATTTGCTCAATCTGTTCCGGAGACAGCGACTGCGTGATACGACTGGCGCAGTCACCCAGCCAGTACTGGATATCGTGGGCACCGTTGAACATGGTGCCCAACGCCTCGAAGACCTTCCGTGCAATGTAGATGGCTCCCTGGTGTTTCTGATCCTGGGAGAGTTCAGGGTAGTGATCGATAAGTTGCTTGCGAACCTGCTTCATGGCTCCCATGAAGGTCACACCGTATACGTTAGTCATGACGGTTTGCTTCACCACCTTTCTGGTAATCTTGCCGTCCAAGTATTTGGCCACACTGTGGCCCTGCGCAGCTTCCCGAGCAACGGCTTCCTTAACGAATTCGGCGACACCAGTATACACATCGGACGGGCGATCAGACGGTTCAAGGTTGACTTGCTGAGCGCCGATCTTGTCACCACCCAGTGCTGCATAGTGCTGCAATCCGTTACACGAACCATCCTGGTGGACGGGCAGGCGAGATGCGAATTGAGTGGGATCCGGGTGCTGGAGCGCGTTCCTCAACTCACAGCAGGCAGCCAAACATTGCCACGGATCATCGGCTTTCAGCCACCAACGCCTGCCATGAAGACCGTTGTTGGCAGAGTCAAGCACATCGTCCAAATGATCCATGGTGAACTTCTCACGTTCAGAGAGACTTGCCTTGTCGAATCCAGACAGGTTAGCAATCTGAACCTTCAGCCACCTCAGTCCACTCTCTCCAAGCGGCTTGGCTTGGCTGAAGAGCAGCAGACCTCTCGCATTGTCTGCACCCATCTGGTTGAGATAAGGCGGGAGAGGATAGGCACGTCCACGGAAGTCCAAGTTGTGAGGCAGATAGAAGGTCTCATTCCTGTACGCGCGGGCCACCTCCATCTGGAAGTTCTGGAAACAACGCTGGGAGTGGAAACCGGCTCTGCGGTTTTCAATCTCACGCATATCATTGTCCCATTTCTTTTCGGCTTCGTAGCCCTCCTCCGGGGATGGTTTAGGAGGATGAGGCAATTCGGGCTCCAGCGGGGCGAGATCGGCGACAGGTTCTCCAGAGTTCCAAGCTTCAAGCATAACCTTGAAAACATCTTCGTTGATGACCCACCCGGTGTTACCGAGAATATCCAGTCCCTGGCGGATTTGCTCAAGTCCATTATTCTCCAGTGCTGCCTTGACATAAGCGGGCTGCAATGTCTCACCGGGAGTCGTACGAATCAGGTTGCTCTTGTAAACGTGGTATCCACCATCGGATACACCTTTCCACGGCCTAGGCTTGCTCAACATGGGCAAATGGCGACCCAAGAGATCAGACGTAGGCTCTTTGGTGACTATCTTGACGATTTCAGGGTGCAAATGGATGAAACCAGCACGTCTACCCCAGTTGATTTGATAAGCATGCTGGAAGGCAGGCTGCATGGAAATCTCAGGCTTCTTCGTTTCGGGGTTGTCGATTTTCACAGGGGCCTTGGCGACTTCGAAGAGGAAACTCATCAAGGCAGCTCCAACCTTGGCCTTCACACGAGCTGACCAAGCAACAGCAGGGTCATCCTGCTCCAGGTTTCGGACAATGGTGTGCCACTTTGCCCGACCATCCTTTTGTTTGCGAAGGGAGAGGGTTTGCTTAACCGCCTTGAGTCGTGCGGCATCAGCTGCAGATTCTTTCTTGAGGGTGAGCTCAGCGAGGAATTCATCATGAAGTTCGGAGCCGATTCCAGTAGCGATCGAAGCGAGCTTCAGTCCTGAATCCATGCCTCCCCGTCCAAAAGAAGACAAAACGCTCAGGATGGTGAGCGCGGCCAGCTTGTCCGAGTCAACACAACGCAAGAAGACACCGTATTCGCAGCGCTCCGTATCCTCCAACGTCCGAGGGGGCTTGGCCTCCGATTGTTCCACAAGCTTCAGCTCCGCCTCGATTCTGGACACAAGATCGGTGTGCCATTGGTTGATAATACTGCCCAGGCGCTTCTCGCTTCCAGTAGTATTAAGGCCGGCCTTCTGTCGGTCAATGGTCTCTTGCCTCCAGCGGTTGAGGGCCGCCTGGATAGAATTGGCTTCGAGCTGTTTTTGTCTGGACATGTTGTACATTTCTCGGGACTCCGCATCTGTGTACTCGCCTTCCGCGGGAGCGGACACCTTCGAAGGACCGTTAAAAAGCGAAAGCGATTCCCTCAAAGAAGAGAGACCGAGACCCTTCTGTTCGACGGCTTTGACTTCCGGCAGATCGGCTGCATCCGCGAGGGGATCTTCGGTAACAGCATTGCTATCCAAGCTGCCCATTGAGACGCGCTGGATATCGGAGGAACAGATCTATTCGACGCTGCTATCAGCAAAGATGATCAAATGTAAATAGTAGACTCAAACTCACCTCTGATAGCTCACCAACTTCCAGTTCGGAGAGAACAGGAGCAGCCAGAACTTCCTCTTCAAGAGATGCATTCTTGGCGAATTCCCAGTATCTGCGTACTGCTCGATCACGCTTGGTACCGTGGAACATCCGCAGGGCCATCCGAATCATCACTGCATAGGTCGTCGCGTCGGGAACCACGCCAGAGGCCGGCAAATCAACCTCGAAGAACTTCTGCATGGGCAAGACAAGGTTGTGCTGCCTCGTCAAGATCATCTGCGAGACCATGCCCTCGAGGTAGCGGTTGTGAAGGGCCAGGTACTTAGGGGAAGCTGGGGGGTAGCATCCTCTAAGCCGGGAAAGAAGAATAGCAGCACGATCGTAGCGGTGAAGTCTCAGTGAAAGGTCGAAGTTTGCCAGCATTTCTTCTTCATCACCACCAAGACCCTTCACTCTCCGCAATACCTTCGGTTTCGTTTGTAGTGCATCATCCACGATGACCAAAGACGAGGGATCAAATTCATGAGCGAGGGGAGAGAAAAACGAGGACAGGTGGTGATCGAAGTACTGCTCGGGGTTATACGCAGGCGATTCGAAAGATCCATACGACCCTTGGTCAATGGCAGACTGGTCGGCGGCAGTGGCGAGGCTTCGACTCGACTGGAAGGATGGCCGGCGAGGACGTTCCTGGGGAGCATTTGCAACTGTGTTTGTGAGAGCGGAGGGCCGACTCGATTGGGAATGAAGTCTCAGAGTTGCAGGCGAAGGCAACACCGAGCGCCCCTTTGCAAGGCGCAGACGAGCGAAGGCATTTTTCTGAAGAGCAACACGGGACAACATGATACACGAACACCGCTAGACGCGATGATGGACGATTAGAGGTATATCGCTGATTATTTGCAATTATAAAGAAGGGAGATGATTGAATGCAGAACAAAACAGGGCGTCTAAAAAACTATAGTAGAGAGAAGGAAATCGGAAATAGATGCAGGATGGATGCAAATGACCCAGATAAAAACCTATCAGATGGTGCACATCTATCCAATCTGACAAGCCGTCCTGCAGCCCTTCAACGACCGAGGAAGGGAACAAAAGAGGGAAAGGAAAGGGAGGATGGGGAGGAGGAGAGAGAAGAGAAAAAGGCGTGAAGGCGAGAACTGCGAAACGGATCTCCAGTCGAGACGGAGACTTCGGCGGACGGAAGTGAAAATTGGTCCACCGCCCCGATTGGGCGATAAGGCACGTGAGTGACACGTGATGTTCTGGAAGATCGTCGGTGTTTTCCCACGCGCTCATTGGCTGGAGGCTTCGTCTGTGTTTTCTTCCATTGATTTCGTCCAGCAGCGATGATCTCGATGGCAAATGGAACAGGCCCACTAAAGCAATGCGTAGAGCACTGAGCTGTTCAGGAGCTGCATGCTTCACCATATTCTCCATTGCCTGAGAAAATATGGTTGTCCGACTCCCTTAAAGTCTATTCTCCACCATGCAAACTTAGCCGTGAGGTACTGCCTACAGCTTCTCTACTATGTATACGCCTTTGTGATACCCAGCTTATGTGCAAGTCATTCAGCATTCGTAATTTTGCATATCATGATACCCCCAGCCAATGCAGCTAATCACCCTTCCGTTGTCCCCTCAGCAGACTGCTGTTCCTCCCGCTGCTTCATGCGGTTCTGTTTCATTGCCCAGCCCGTCATCTCCGGTCGCGCAGGATCAATCCGCGGCGCACTCATCGTATCCAGATAACTCTCACTGTCAATCGCCGACTGCAGCTGCGGTAGACTATCCACATCCTGATGCATCATGTAGTTTTCGTACAATTGCCACGACTCCTCAGTCTGCCAGACAAAACACACCCACATTAGCAAGCATTCCCTTTAAGCCCAAGAAATCAACATCATCCAGTATAACACTCACCTCAGCATCCACCCACTCATAATCCTTCCACTTCTCATCCTGCATCTTCTTCAAAAGATCCAGATTGCCCGCAACCTGCGCCGCCTCACCATCCTCCGCGGCCTTGATCTTAACATCAATAGCCCTAGCCTCGCTCTCACCGGGACGATCCTCCTCGCCCTCCTTCCTCGCCTTCCCCTTACCCTTCGTAGGCATCTCATCCAAAGCATCAAGGTGATGAAGCTGCGGATGTAACTGCACAACAGCCGAAACAGGCGAAAGATGCAACTTGTCTATCCCAAACAAAACCCCATTAGCCCATACCTCCCCAACTAAAAGAAGGGATCAAACTTACCCCCCCTAAAAGCCGCCAACATATAAACCGGATCCCCATCCTCAGGACTCTTAATCCTCCCACCCAGCGTCTGCACCCTCATCAACGACGCCGTCTCATTCTTCGCATCCGTCGCATCCTCCATCTTCACCTTCGCCGGCGCACCACCAGCACCCCCGGAACTAAACCCACCCGCCATACCAAACGCGCCGCCTTCGCGCGCACTCTTGCTCTTCTTCAATGCATCGCCGTAGCGCAATCCCTTGCTGACATCGTAATTCACGCGTGTGTTAATGGGGACGTCGACTTCCACCAGCCCCGTCTTGGGCTTCAGGCGGAAGGAAGTAGGTTTCTGGCCGTGGCGGTCGTCGTAGGCGGAGCCCGTGGGTCGGTCGAGGTATTGTAGGACGTAGCGCGAGATTTCTGAGTCGGTGAGGCAGATGTCGTAGGAGGCGATGACGGGGTCGTCGGTGGGGTCCATGGTTGGTGGGTAGGTAGGTTGGGTGGGATGGCGTTGTTGGGGTGGGTGATTATAAGGACGTGGTCATGGATTGAGGGATCGTGAGAGATTGATTGGAGGGATTTGGGGGTATAATAAGTGGGAGGAGAGCTTGCAATGGCTGCGTGCTTTGCGGGGTGTTCGGGTTTTTTGCAACTTTTTTCTTTGCTTTATCGGAGGCGGAGGAGGTTTGATAAGCTGCCCGCTTGCAGAATCTATGGGTTTCACACCGCCTTCTTGTTTAAGGGGTAGATCTATAAGGGAAGAAGAAGTCTGCGATCATGTTTAAGAGTAAAGGATCTAGTAGTTTACTGATTGCCAGCTAGTGGCTGTTTCAAGAGTAACAATCGGAAAAGTGTACATTTTACAATCACAGCTATGAATGCAGATGCGACAATAATTTGGTCATCAACAGTATGTACAGAACAGCTGTATCGTCGTAAAACTCATAAAACTTCTTGATGTATAACAGTATCACATGAATGCCGACTATCCAGAGGCATTATTTTTGGGATATCTCCAACGTCTACTCCTCATCCTCGTCATCTTCAGCAACCTGTAAAAGTTATTAGTAATGTGTCAAATGGAATGGATAAAAAAGGGTCAACATACTCCTTCGTGGAAGTTCTGTCCGTCGGTGGTCGCCTTGATGACACCAGCACGGATACACCAGTCTCCGAATCTCTCAGGGGTCTCGCCATCAGTGTTACGCTCCTGGGAGTAACGCTTGAGAAGACCCTTCATGATGTCGAGGATCTCATCCTCCTTGATCGAAGAGCGGTAGAGCTTGTTCAGACGCTGGCCGTGGTAACCACCACCGAGGTACATGTTGTACGCACCGTAGGCCTTACCAACGAAAGCAACTTCAGCCAGCCAGGGTCTGGCACAGCCGTTGGGGCAACCAGTCATACGCATGACAATGCTGTCGCTGGCCAAACCGACCTCCTCAAGAGTGGACTCCAGCTTGCCGATAAGGACCGGGAGGTAACGCTCGGACTCAGCCATGGCAAGACCACAGGTGGGGAAGGCAACACAAGCCGACGAAGAGAGACGCATACCGCTGAAGGAGGTGTTGTCGAGCTTGTACTGAGCCATCAGCTCCTTGATGGCGGGAAGGTCTGCATCCTCAATGTTGGACAGGATCAAGTGCTGGTTACCGGTGAGACGGAACTCGCCCTTGTCGAGCTTGGCAAGCTCACGCAGACCAGTGCGCATCTTGAAGTCAGCGGTGTCCTCAATACGTCCGTTCTCGATGAAGAACGTGAAGTGGTTGAGGCCCTTCTCGTCCTTCAGCCAGCCGAAGGTATCAACGTTCGAAACGAACTTGAAGGGACGGGGCTCGGCAAAGCGCAGGCCCTCGGGAAGAAGGGCCTCGACCTTCTCCTTGTAGGCATCCACGCCCATGTCGTCAATGGTGTACTTTAGACGAGCGTGCTTGCGGTTCTTGCGGTCACCGTGGTCGCGCTGGACCAGCATGATCTTCTCACAGACAATGTGAGCCTGGTCAGCAGGGACGTAACCGAACATGCGTCCCGTCTGGGGGTAGGTCTTCTTGTTGTTGTGAGTAGCACCCATACCACCACCGGCAGTGATGTTGAAACCTTCCAGGTGTCCATCGGCGCCCTTGATGGCGATCAGACCAATATCGTGTGCGTAGACATCGGTATCGTTGTGGGGAGGAATGGCAATGGTGATCTTGAATTTACGGGGAAGGTAAGTGGGACCGTAAAGCGGCTCATGGTCAACAACAGCGTCACCCGCAACCTGGACCTTCTTGTCGTCCTCATCCTTCAACCAGATCTCGTGATACGCAGTAGTCGCGGGAAGCAAGTGGTCACTGATCTTCTGGGCGACGGCGTGCGTCTCGCGGTGGAAGTAGGAAAGCTCAGGGAGGGAACTGCACATGACGTTACGGTTGACATCACCGCAAGCAGCGATGGTGGTCATGAGCGACTTGTTGATAGCACGCATGGCGCCGCGGAGCTTGCGCTTAATGACACCGTGGAATTGGAAGGTCTGTCTGGTAGTCAACTTCATGGTCTCGTTACCATGAGAGCTACTGATGGCATCCATTTGCAGCCACTGGAGGGGAGTGGCCACACCACCGGGCAGTCGACAACGGATCATGAAGCTGTAAGCAGGCTCAAGACCCTGGGCCTTGCGCTCGTCACGGACATCACGGTCATCCTGCATGTAAGTACCGTGGAACTTGGTGAGCTGCTGGTCACTGGCGGAGATAGCACCAGTGGTTTCATCCAGCAGTCCCTCGGCGATGGTACCACGCAGGTAGTTGGACTGGATCTTGATATCCTCGTTGGTCAACGGCGCAGGCTCCTCCGGCAGACCCTCGACCTTGTCAACACCCAGAGCCTGCCAGAGACGAGGCTCCCACTCGGAGTAGCCAGTCTGGAAGGCATCGGGATCTTGGTCATCACCGAGACCAATGTCGGTCAGCTTGCGTCCACCAAGGAAGGCGATACGAGCATCAAGGTCCTTAGCGGGCTTGTTGTAGTAGATTCTGTCTTCCTTGCGCGGCCAGTAGTGGCTGTCACCCAGACCGAAAACGGAGTAGTTGATGGAAGACAGATCCAAGTCACCGGTGTTCTTCACAAACTCCCACAGGCCACGGCCATTCTGGGGGAATTCACCCTGACCGGCAGTACTGGAGATGAAGACCACGTTTTCTTCGGTGGCGAGGTCATCAAGGGGATAGTCATCCATGGCCATGACCATGGTCTTCAAGCCTCTGGCACGACCGCGGTTGCCGAGGCGCTTCGCCAGAGTCGCGGCGTTGCCGTTGTCGGAGGCGAAGAGAATGGTCAGAGGAGCACCGAAGAGACCCTCAAGGAGCTTCTCATAAGAGTCCTTAGCCTGGCGCTTCTGAAGAGAGCGGACCTCAGTTCCGTACGACTCAGAAAGCACAGCTGAGTACTTGGGGTGACGGTTCATGAGCTGGGTAAGCTGGTTGTCCCTGCGAAGGAACTCTTCAAGCTCACGCCTGATCCGGTCCGAGTCCAGAGAGAACTTAGGTTCGTCGTTCTCATCGTTGCCGGGGTTCCAGCGGTACAGCGGCCAGTAACCAAGGTCAATAGCCTTCTTGGTCTCCTGGAGAACAGTCAAGGCAGAGTCGTTCTCCTGGTTGTAGGGGAGGTAGGCAACAACAACGGAGGGACCCTTGAATTTCTCGGCCTCAGCCATAGCCTGGAGAACCTGGGTGTACGAGCCGTACACGGCGACGGAAGCAACATAGGCGTTGCCAAAGTTCATGGCATACAGACCAATGTCCTTCTTTCTGCGAGTGGGGTCCGCGGCGGTGCGTTCGGAGTAGGGCTGCGAATCAATGACGAGCATGTTGACGTTGGCTCCGGAGGCAAGGACGTGGTGAACACCGGAGTTGCCGAGATCATAAGCCCAGGCGTCAGAGCCGATGAGCCACAGGGACTCATCGTAGAAGAGCTTCTTGGACTGCAGGAGCTGTCTGGCAAGCTGAGAACCGTCGTTGGAAAGGCGGGCAATGACATCGGGTGCCAGCTTGTTGGCCTTGGAGGCATCTGCAACACTGAGGGCCCAGTTGGAGAGCCATGTCCGGGGGACATCAGTGGCGAAGCTGGTAGACTTGGAGGCCTCCTCGACTTCGCGGATAAAGCGCTGGCGGTGCTCCAGCCTGGCGGTCAACGCACCAAATCCGTACTCAGGGCTGGCCGCAATGGTGGAGGAGATTCCGGCGTGCTTCGAGCCCAGCTGGTTGGCGATGTGCAGGCGTTCACCGAAGAGCTGATTGAGGATCTTAAGGTAGGCGTTCTCAACGTGGGGCTGCTCGAGAGAAGTCTCAATGGACGGGACCTTGGAGGTTCCGATCTCAAGGTTCTGAATAGGGGAGGGAGAGCTCAGGTTCTGCACAATGCCACGAAGAGCCTGGACGGCAGTGGAGGGCTCAACGTATCCCAGTCTGTATCCCACAATCTTGGGGGCGGCCCGACCAGCAGCCGGGGAGAGACTGGAAAGAAGATCCATGAACGCCGGTCCCCACTTCGTAGTCTTGCGGACCTGCTCCAGCACGGCGATCTTCTCAATCGAGCTAGGAATAGATTCAACAATCTGGCCTCCAACCCAGGGGCGGTACAACCGCGCAGTGATCAAGCCAACATTTCCAAGCTCACTGGAAGCCTCCTCCTTGCCCAGAACGTCGACAAACACGCCAGTCGAGCCGAAGACGAAGATGGCCGACTTGGCATCGGAGGGACCAGTGTACTCAATCGCGCGGTAGTTGCGTCCGGTGGTCTCAGACAACACATTCCATATTTGAGAGGTCCATTCGAAAATGTCTGTAGCACTGACGGGCCGAGTGGCCGAGGCGTCGATGGTGGTGGCAGCGGAGCTAGTCGCACGGCTATCGACACTGCTGTCCCTCTGAGAAGAGCCGACAGACGAAGTATCAACACTGACATTGGAAGGAGTCTGAGTGGCCTGAGCAGGGGTGGAAGAACCCTCGACCTGGCTGGTGGCGGTGTCCACATCCTCAGTCACTGTAGCGACCCGTCCGGAGTCAGTGTACAGCGTCTGGGCACCCAGGCCAGAGGTATGTGTCACAGAGCTTCCGCCCAAGTTGAGGACAGACCGAAGGACCTCAGCGTCTTCCTCAGCAATGGCGTCATCGCGAGCGGAGTTGGCAGGGTCGAAGAAGTGGATGACACCCTTGCCGGACTTGCGGGACAACGCATGAGCAGTGATAGCGATATCCTGGGCCTCCTGAAGCGTCTCAGAGTGCAGGAAAGTGAATCCGCATTGCCTGATAGAGCTGATCACGGAGTAATCTGGGAAGGGGTAGGGCTCCAAAGCGACATGGATGACGACAGGGGTGTTCGCCAGGCGGTAGAGATGAGGAATGGAGGAGAGCAAGGTGGAGGAGGTGGTCACGACAGACACAGTGTTTCCAGTCTGAAGAGGGTGGAAAGCGGAGAGGAGGGGGTCTTCATTATAGC